GAAGTCCTCCAGATATGTGCTGTCTTTTCAGGGACGGAAGGCTCTACTTTGCAATTTGACAAATACGCCATCTTTCGAATAATGCAAACTAAGGAAGTGCTATTCGGTTTCCATGGTCATGCCTACATAAAAACAGGTTAGAAACATAAAGAAAAATGGACACTATGTAACTGCAGAGCCATTTAAGTGATACATGAAAGGTGGTCCCGTTGAATGAGATAAAAAAAGTATTAACACTGATGATACTAATCATTTTAGTTGTAGGTAATGAGAATGATGAGCACCAGCTTTGCATCAGACACCATTTCAGGTACACAACACAGGTCGTGTACAATACGTTTCATTCTCACCTGGAAACACCCACGTGCACACACACGCACACACACACACACAACTCTGTGAGGTGGGCACCACTGCTGTCCGCATTTCACAGACTGGAAAACGTACTCCCTCTACTTCTCTGTTGTCCTAATCTTATAATATCTGTATACTTTGCATTCTCTTATCTCATGATAAACCAATGCAACTTTAACAGTTATGACAAAATGGCTCATGCTAGAGCCTTTGATCATTTTAAGCAACTGAGCCCCTAAAAGGCATGAACGCAGTTCCATAAAAGAATAGATTCGGTCCCAGAAGCCAACGCCCCTACTCCTGGGCGTGATGCCTCCCTTCCCTCTCGCCGCCTGGTCCTGAGAGATGCCTCTTGGATTGACTTCTGCAGACCGCTTTTGATATAGTCAGCAATAAAACGCATGAGTAAACTCTAAAAGCAGTTTAGACACTCTGTGTTGCGAGGATAAATTTCCACTCTGATTTCAGTGCTGTGTTGCTGAAGTACGAAGTCAAAACCAATTTTACTTTCCCCCACGTCTATAGGGATGCTGCCTGTTTTCGCCAAACAAACTGCTTTCCACAAGCCTCTTGCTGGTGTCTGCACCTAAGAAATCAATTCCCACGAGACAGTGATGAGAGCCAGCCTTTAGGTGTCAGGCAAGCATCCAGCCCTCAGATACTAGAAATGGCACGTCCAGACCAAAGGTTAAGTAGACTCCTCTGCCCTGGATGAGCTTAGAGGATTGTGGGGAGAGAACCTCAGCAAACTAGGCAAGCAAACTGAACAAGAAGCAGGGAAAACAATCTCTGTAGAGGACTTCCTGCTAATGCGGGGAAGCACACAGGACATCATTACATTTACTGACTGCCCAGGATCACCCCGCAGGGAGGTCATCACAGTCCTGTGAACAGAGAGTAAAGAGCAGAGACACGCGTGGGTGACACGGCTGTTGACAAGCTGGGGCTTGAACCAAAGTCTGGGGTGAAAGTCTGGTGCTCTATTGCACGGCGCTCCTTCCTGAGGCTGAAAATGAGAAAAGATGTACAGCTGGGCAGACTGGCTGCTTTCAAATGCGAGCACAGAAAAAGGGCATGAGACTTGTTTTACTTCAGGAAGGAGAGTGGAAGCTACCTCAAGGCGATGAAACTTAGGACCATGTGGGAATACTTTCCTCACAGGGGCTTGTTGGAAAATGGGAGAACACAATGGCCCTCTGAGTTCGAGTCCCTGCCATGGAACATGTCCATGAAGAAGCCGAGGTACCAGGGGCTCTTCAGGGCTCTGTGAGTATTTAATTCTAAGATTCTAAGCGAAATATGTATTCTCTAGAAATCCTTGATATCAAGAACCTTTCTCTCCCCATCTCCACGTGGCCACCTGTCCCCGCTGTGGGACCTTACGAACTCAGTGTGCTTAGCAGGGAAACAGGAAGAGGATCACCTTCCAGGCATGACTATTCGAAGATCAAACACGATGGCCTTTTAAATGCGTCCCCTCGTGAAGCTCAAAGAGTGTTAGTTACCTCTTCCTGCATGTCTCTGCGGTCCGAGCCAGTGTCGGAATCGGACAAGCCACCTGCAGGAGCTGCCTGTAGCGGCCACTGGGGTTGCACCAGATACACGGGGAAGGGGGGCCTCCGGGACGCGAGGGCTCCCCAGAGACATGCATCTGGCTCGGTCACGGGCATGCGTGTTGTTACAAACGTGTTCTACAGATATTGCTACAGAAGCAGTCCATCACACACAGAATTGTAAAGAATGGATCTGGTGTTCAAAGTAAAAACACTTGCGTAACTTTTATTTATGTGTATGAAAAGAGCCGAGGTAGCAGATTAAAATTCTAAGCAAGTTTGATTCCATTTGAATAGAAAAGAAAGAAATGTGTCATTTAAAACTGGATGGTCAGTCTATGGCCAAGGTGGGTGGGTCTCAGGTTGCTGTGGAGTTCGGACGCACTCATGGGAGTCTGAGACCCAGCGTAGCGGGACTCACTGCCCTGTGGCCTCTAGAACACGCCCGCGTTCCCCACGTGCGAGCGGCTAGCGGCTGGTTCGTCTGTCACGCTGAGTGCCCTTGTGGGGAGAGCCGTGTCCCAGCTTAAGGAGCCTTTTCGCAGCCTCGCTTCAGCTCTCAAGTGAAGAACATGCCTTTGGGCTGAGTTAAAAATACGTGTTTTTTTCCTGTTGTTTTTTTTTTTTTTTTACCAACAACAAAACTGAAGTGTGTGTGTGCACGCATGTGCATGGATGGAGGGTAAATTAACAAAATTTCAAGAAATAAAAATGTAAAGATATCATAATTTGGATCTTAACTTCTGCAAGCACAAATATTTGACAATGGAAAATCCATGTATTCGTAGTTTGTGAGAAAGAAAAATAGTCCTAAAATCATGCAGTGAGCACTCACATACACGACCACACAAACTACGATATGCATGTACATGCAGGAATGTGTATGCCCACAAATGTTACATAAAATAGGGAAATTTTAAAAATGAACTGTAGAAGTCTAATGTTTATTACTTTAGTAGCCTTTCCCGGATATCTGTATATTGGAAAACACAAGAACCTGAGAATTCTCTCTCTTTAAAAGTGTCTGGCCTCTAAAAGGAACAGAAGTCAGATACAATCGGTGAGGAACAAACCAAGACAAACAAGCACAAACAGCCTCCTTATCCCGGGCTGAGGGCCCTTCAGCGCAGCAGCTCAGAGGCCACCGAGGCAGCGGAGAGAAGGTAAATCAGGTCAGAAGTAAAACACACGAAGTCCCAGACACCAAAGGCGATGTACGTCTGTAACGTGTCTGGTTCACAGGGAGCAAAACCCCAACATGTGGCAGAGCACAAGTGGGGAAAAATAACAACTCAGCCATTTCAAAATGGATTTTCAAAAGTTGGGGTTTTTTTCCTAGAAAAACCCATTTGATGTTGTTAAACTTGTTTTTCTTACATACCATCAAACTCAAGTGAGTAGGAATTAGGAGCATTGAACCAAAACAAAGGTAGACATTTGCCTTATAGCCTCTAAATCTGAGATGACCCCATTCCTGTTCTCTTCCAAGGGCCGTACTCTATCTAAACTTGACCCTTCCGTTCCCCTCCTCCCTCAAAGGCAGTGCACACGTTCAACTGATTTTCACTTCACTAAGAGTTCTAGCCCCCTGATTGCTGTTTCAAAGGCACTGTCTGAATGTTGTGTAGCATGCTGCTCTTAGTAACAGTTAGGATACAATCAAAACTGCAGCCTGTCACTCAGCAAAGGGAGGAGTAAAGCGTTAAGGTGTCTTATCTAGAAAACCTGTGGCCTCCTGGTAGTTCTCAGTTAGCTCAGGGTGTGACCTCTCTCGAACTCAGTGGCCCTGGGGGCAGATCTAACCCCCCCGCGAGGCTGCTAATAGGTTATTTTCCAGGGTATCAGTGATGTCGAAAGCTAGAGTTTTCAGCTGGCCCTTACAACCTTCAAAATGAAAATAAATGCAACAAAACTTGATTGGGAATAACACCCGCAAACGGTAAAGATTTTTAAATGTCTTGTAAATAAAGTACAGCAACAAAATGAAATAGCAGATGCTTAAGAAACAGCCTGCAGGCAGTCGGGGAAAAGACGGTGGTTTCATTGTAACCCACACCCGCTCATTTTTCTGCATGCAAATAAATTGATGTACATTATTTTGTGCTATCTATTAAGGCAATGTACAAAACTGTACAAGTTAAGAAAAATCAGAAAAGGAGATATCCAGTGGCAAAAGTGCCAGCATAAGTCACTGCATTTTTACTAAAAAAAAAATTATTGGTTACAAATGGGTCCTTGGCAGCTGGGTCAGACAGCAGATACACTTAGGACATTGTCTTTTCCTTGAGAGTAGTCTCTGTGTTCAGCAAAAGACAAGCATTCTGAGTTCGCAAGTGGGGTTCTATACGGTCTCCGTATTCATGGCTTCTATACAAATATCACAGGCAGTGTTCTCCATGTACAGAACGACAAAAGTTACTATACAGTTAGAAAACAACATTGTTGTTTCAAATTTAGTATAAAGCTAAAAAGAAATATTTTAACACTCTTCTTAGTATTAAAACACTGTGGAACTTCCTGAAGATTACTTCATCTCTTATGTTAAAACAAATTGTACCCATACTCAAAAGAAGCTCTTATCTATTGCCTGTTTCACGGTGAGGCTGTTTTAACTTCTGTTTTATATGTAGGAGTAGAGCAGCAAAGTAAGACTTAAAAACAGAATAACCATTTCACCCTCTAGTATCAAAAAAAAACAAAACCCTGCCCTGTTGCCTCTAACCAATATATTTCAATCCTAGAAATGCACTCAAATTTAAAAAGTAACATTCTAATAAGTAACAAAAATTACTTAATAACATGCTCATTATTTTGATTGCTTTCTTACTTTCAAAACATGTCATCACTTTAATGATAATGCAATATTATTTTCCTACAAGGGCTGATAACCTTTGACAATCTGAACCGTGAACTTGAACATGAACTTAAATCATTGCCGTTTCAATGTAACTTGTTGCAGTGGAGAATTATAAGCCATTTGAGAACTGGCATCTAAACACGTGTAAGAACTGTGACTCTCAGAGCCAGCCAGCCTTCAGTAAACATCACCGAAGGCGATGAACTTGAACGGCATTATCGCGGACCGAGACCCACCTCAGCCTCAGGGCCAGCAGTCGCTCCTTCGACCTCAGCAGTTCCCCCACTTTGAAGCTGGCATAGCCCAGGAAACTTCGCTGAAAATGAGAAAGAGAACAGTTTTCATTAACTTCGGAGGTTCCGAACATTGTTGCTGTCACACCAACCACACAAAATTCGTCTCCAGAAAAATAAAACGTGAAATCTCTTAGCCTGACAAACATTTCACAGACTGAACTATAACCATCACCAGTACGTCCACCTCTTGGGGTAAGTTCCAGGGGTACAAATGCATCCTTCTCACTAAAAACAAAGACAAGTATCCTGGAAAACAACAAAATGTGTACTACAGAAGCCTTCCACTAGCTAATTTTCACCCCGTACGAAAGCTGGGGTAAAAGAAAAATGATAGACTTTCAATAGTTCCCAACACGGTCCCCAGTCTTACTCGAATTCCTCAAGTCCCTGGCAGCGATAAGGCTGTATTCCAGATATGAGCAAATCTGCTAGTTGGAGCTATTTTTATGTGGGACTCTGGACAAGTTATAAATAGAAATGCTATTTCTCCCCCATCGCAGCAATGCGTAAAAGCATTTGTTTCCTTTGTTATTCCTATTCTAGCATGGGACAATTTCATTCCGACACACAAAAAGAAATGGCACTTGTTCAGCTACATTTTCTAAAATTGCTTTTTTAACCTATCATACGGAGTGTTGACTATGTATGAATATCTCCATTCTCCACTCTTTGACTCATAAAGTAAAGAATAAGGCTCTAAATTGGTTTCTCTTTCCCAAGATAAACATCTTTCATCTCTTTTTAACATTCCTGGCTACTTCTGATTTAAAAGTCACAGGATCGGGGTAAACCACGAATAGGATTTTTCATTCTCCCCTCAAGGTCAAGAAGTAAACCTGGAACTCTCAAACCCATATTCCTGCCTGGGCCTCTGCTGTCTAACACATTGTCATGTGCTACAAGAGTCAACACTGCGTGTTCCAGAACATTCTCTCTCCATAGGTCTGTTGCGGGCTGCACTAGAACGACAGACTGGGGGCCAGATGGGTGTTTTCAGAGGAAAGTGTGGCAATTACTCCACACATAAAAGGCTGCATCTACACTGAGTGATTGTTGACACAGGGAAGAAAAGCTTCTGGGCAGAATTTTCCTCCCTCTTCTAAAAGTTCTAACGTGGAAGAACCGCTCCAAAAGGTTCAAGGCCAACATTTGAAATAAACTGAGTTTTAAACTTAGAGACGCGTATGTGTTAGTAAGGATCAACCCAATTATTTAACTTAAATAAAGCAAAGAGCTGCTTTAGACGCGGAGTCGCTGGTGCCGGAGGACTGCGAGGCCGTTAGGTGGGGGAGGTCGGGTGGAAACGGAGTTTTGTGGAAACCGGCTCTGGTGCCGGGTCAGCGAGAGACAGACGCCCGTGAACCGGGGCCGAGGGGGCCGTCCAGGAGCTGCGTGGACCAAGCATGCAAAAGTGTAGGGTGGCTTTGCAGGAAGGGGCAGAGAGCGCCGAGGAGAGATCCAGCTGAACAAGAGCACGTATGCGACTTCATCAGAAATGCCGAGACCGTCCTTACAGGAAAGAGCATGGAGACTCTACCTGTTCTCTACTCCCTGTCCTGTGGGGTTGTTCTCTGTTGTCACTTACCACCACCACCGCACACATGCGCACGCGCGCACACACACACACACACACACACACACACGCTCACTTTGTACCTGCCCCCCAGGTAACTGAGATGTGAGGCTCCACAAGGAGCTTTAGTTTGCTGTCTGATAGACTCCCACTGCCTCGCACACAGTAGACACGTGGTAAATAGTTACTGACACTGAATGAATGAATGGCAGAGGCATGAGCTGCAAGCCATCCTGTTTAGGTACAGGAGCACTATTTATCAGCTACTACAGTTCGCCAAATGTGGAAAATGAAAACAATTTTAGTGCGTAGACTGTGTACTATTGAGGTAACTTTCATTGAACCTTTGTATTTTAAAGAAGTCTCACTTTCTCTTTTACTGATATCAGCATTTTTCATTTCAATTCCCACTGCACACTGCTTATCCTCACTCAAAAAAAAACTTTGAACTGATCATAAATGTCATAGTGGCTCAGCATTTGCCTTTTGAGATTTTGATGGCATAGATGGTTTTAGAATTAATTTTTTTAAAAAACCCTACACGTGGCATGAATGTTATTGTGGTCTGTTCAGCAAGTAAGAGAGCAAATGTCCCAGACTGGAATGGAGCAAGAAGAGACAGGTGGAGTTGCTATTTGCAGACACGGGCAACAGACGCGCCATAAGGCACAGCTGCAAGTAGAGACGGTGACCATAAGCCCTTGGATGTCTCTCCTGTTACCCGGGCCAGGAGCTCTGTGGAAGTGGGACCGTGGCTTGAGCGTCTGAGCCCAGTGGAGCGCCCAGGACACGGGGGCGGCACCGAGAGTGCTTGTGTGGGCCTCCAATGCCCGTGGGCCGCTCTCCCCCAGCACAGCTGTTGGCCACCTGCTCGGTCTCACGGGATAATAGGCGACCTCACAGAAACAACACAACGTGTTAAAAACCAACCTGGGAAAGGGCATCGTAGCATTTTACATCAGGACAATGTATCAGACCAGAGGAGCTGTCATTTAGGTATGAACGTTATCAGCTTTACTTTAAAAATACCTACACCGAGACTACCTGTTGCATAAAATGCATGAATGAAATCCCCAGGTTGCATGACGACGTATAGTTGTTTCACATTGCAGCACCAACAACGGCATTGCCTGCACGTTTATTTTCTGGGAGGTTTTTATGTATTTGCTTTACTTCCAAATAATTAAAACTAGGACCCTCTGCAACCCACGAAATTGGAAAACACGTCATTCGCTCGCATGAATGTTCACTGGACTCCTGGTGAAAGGATGAACTAGAGGGAAGACAGTCTTCTCTGTGTTTGAAATCTGAGTTCCCATGAGGAAAACCAGCAGACGAGAGTGTAAAATAAATAACTTTGTTCAGCCTAATGTAACAGAACTGAACATAAAGCTGTTTCATCTTTGTTGTCGCTGTAATCATAATCATAAAATTCTTTTAATTTTTTTATATTTCAAACAGTACTCAAGAAACAATGGTTTTCATCTCTCTTTCGGTGTTGTTTTCAAAATCCTCACCTAGGAGGTTTTAAACTGGGAGTTCCAGTGTCAGGGGAAAACAAAAAAGGAGAAACAAAAAACGTAAAGCTCAGGAGCTGCCGCTCAGAGGTCCGAAGTGTGGGCCTCAATCCATCACCCTGTTGAAAACGGAAATGCAGGCAAATAAATCCCTTCCGCCTGGCCCCAGGCTGGCCGTCCGCCGGCAGGACTGCAGAGCCTTCTCTGTCTTCTCTCTCGCAAACCTGGGGTCTCGGGCAAGCTGCTCCCCCGCTCTGGGCCTGCGTTTCCGTACAAGGACGTTGCCTGTGGTCACCATATATCTTTCCCATAGTTGGTTGTTAGAGTCCGATCTGCCCAGGACAGGCACTTAGTCCACTGCTGAGGGAACGGGAAGCATCCTATGAACATGAGCTTGCACAGTGATGGGGGTGACCCACTCCGCAGCCAGGTGATTCTGCAGTCTGATGAAGCTGCCTTGTGCACTCTCTTAAAAAGTCAGAGTATTTACCTGGCTGGTGGAGCTCAGTGGATTGAGCGCGGGCTGCGAACCAAAGCATTGCAGGTTCGATTCCCAGTCAGGGCACATGCCTGGGTTGCAGGCCACGGCCCCCTGCAACCGCACATTGATGTTTCTCTCTCTCTTTCTCCCTCCCTTCCCTCTCTAAAAATAAATAAATAAAATATTTTTAAAAAGTCAGAATATTTAAAAATATATTTTTCTCCTATCTTCTATGAGACATTGCTGCAATAAAATATGTATATATACATACATACGTTTAAAAATAAAATCAGATTCAGAAAAGTACATAAATTTAAAAATTATAGATGAAAAGTGAAAAAATTAAGATACAAAGGGAATATGGTCCTATACAGCTATTGTCGTTGCGCACACGTTACCGGTGATTCCTCACAGTTCACTTTTTTACCAGACCACGTGGAATGCTGGCCGGGCCCAAGAAATGTGCCCCTGGAACCCGAGAACGTTCAAGCTGGTTGAGTCTGTACATGAAGAAACTGGGCCCAAAGGAGTGAGCTGGCTTACACTCGGTCACAGAACTAGTTAATATGCAGAGGCCAGGTCCAAGTCCAGGTTTCCTGCTTTTCGGTGTGGCATTCTTTCATCCCCATCACGGGGTGCCCTGTTGCCGAGACAGATGGTGACCCCCAATCCTTCTGACAGGCCCTCTGTCTGCACCGCACGCGGCTCCGACCTTCCTAGCCCGCTCATGACAGCGCCACGCACAATTATCCTTCTGGTCCACGCAGCCAAAGCAGATGATCATTAAATGGCTTGACGCACGATTTCAATCCCTCACCTGGCTGGAGAGTGTGATCTCAAGCAGGGTGGAAAAAAGGAAGGCACTGTCTCAATCCCTGCCTGCTCTCCGCGGGCGGCGTACAAATAGTTTCTTTCACCAGTCCTTCACGGACTCTGAGCAAGTCACAGATCTCCTGACCACTCACCAGGGTTGCCCACCTCCCTGGAGCAGGTCCCCAATGGTCCGTCCCCTGGTCGATCAGTGCTGCACAGGGGGCCAGAGGAAGCTCTGTCCCCTCCATGCAGCCACAAGCTGGCTCAATCGTGTCCATGCATTTCCCAAAGCCTTTACTCAAAGTATAGGCTTCCTTTATACTCAAATGTGCAGGGAGCTAGTATCTTCTACTAGGTACTTGGGCTACTACCTTGCCCAAGTACCTTCTAGAGCTGCATTGTCCAAAGTGTAGCCACTAGCTTAGCCCTAGTGTAAGCCCTACCTCTAACCTGAGATGTGTTCTAAGTATTCTAAAGACACACCAAATTTCTAACACATGGCATGAAGACAGAGAAGTGGGATTAATGATTTATTAATAAGTAATTGTATTGATCACACGTTGAAATGATTATATGTTGCACATAGCCTTGGGTTAAATAAAGTGTTAAAATTAATCTCACCTGTTTCTCTGTACTTTTTTAAAAGCCCGGGATACTTGGAAGTTTAAAATTACATTTGTGGTACACATCGTATTTCTGTTGAATAGGCTGGTTTCGAGGTTAAATAGATATAGCAATGATACTTGGACCTATTCTTATAAAACCCCACACAGAAACTGCGGGGTACGTTTCCAAAGGTCCTTGAGGAGCCTAAGGTGCTCTCCCGAGGCGGATACCCGGCATCTCCCCTCACGTAGCCCGCAGGACGGTCCTTTTTCAGAGCCCGGGTCCTTTTTCCCCACTGTCACCGGAACAGTGACGGTCACGTGGTTCCCTATGCCACGGGAAGGGAAAGTGGGTGCATGAACTACTCACACCACAGGTGTGCTCACAGGAGAGCCGGCATTTCAATCACCTGCCGCACAGAGGACTCCGACAGGCAGCATTAGCCTGAGGAGCATCAGAAGCAGCAGAAAGGAGCGCTCCCCACCCCACCCATGGGCTAGCAGGGAGGCCTCTCTCTCCGCTCACCACGGCGCGGCGCGGGCAACGAGAGGGGGAGAGGGCCGGAGGTGTGAGGGGGCCAGACTGGGCTCCCCTTCCAGCGCAAGTGCCAGCCTGTGTGTGTGTGGGGGGCGGGGGGGCGGTAGGTAGTGACCAGTGGTGAGAGTGGCTGGAAGAAAACAACTTAAAGCCAGAGAAGAGATTCAACTTTTAAAAGGAGTAAGATGCATTCCAGTTATCTGAATGAGAAAAGGGAAACAACAGGTAACGGGGAAATTTCACGCCATGAGGTCACGATGGCTTTAAAGCTTCAAGTGAAAAGGATTGAACTCAGAATAGTTGGGAGTGGGCGTGAGCAGTTAGAGAAGAAAAGTCAACCATCTCCTCTTGAACCTCAAAAAATAAATGGAATTCCTTATAAAATAAATATTAATGTATTGATGGTTACCAATTCCACAAGGTACTACATTGTTTGAAGGGCTTATAAAGGGTGTGATGACTTAGTCTGAAGGAAGGTGGCCTCCGGCAAAAGGTGTCTGATCTCAGCCCGGAGGCTGGCTGAGGGGGCATGAGGCCTGGGCAGCGAAGGCCTGAGGCTTTGGAGAAACTAAACGAAGGCCATGCAGCCTGGGCCCAGAGCCTGGCAGCGAAAGTGAGAGCAGCCCAAGAAGTGAAAGAGAAGGCAGAGACGGAGCATGGAGATTCCCATGAGTCTGAGGGATTCCACCTGCCCCCAAGAAGAAACCAGAAGCTTGTGTTAGGCACGAGAGAGCACGAAGAACCCTTTCCTTCTATCCTTCCAGGCGCAGAGACCCCCGGCATGTTTCTCGGGCAATTGAACTTTCGTGCATATTTTTGATGGGCTTCCTTGGCAGGTTTAGATGGCGGCTGTTGCCAAGGAGGAAATGAATGGTACCTGGTACAGGGCTCCCACACTGGCCTGGACAGCGTTGGCAATTGCCTGTAGGATTTCAGGGAACTTCAATAGGCCTGAAGCTGGCCCCCACCAGGGCTTCCCAGACCCAACATTTCTGGACTCTCTCCTCCTCTCCGAAAGCACAGAACCCTCTCAGCCTCTTAGGCCATCTTTTCAGGGGCGACCACTGCCCACTCTGGTCTTGTGGATGCAAAAATCACCTGCTACAATCTCGCTTTCCCAACTTCTGAGAGCTGGAGGTGCAGTGATTCACCTGCAGCAGAAACCACAGCAGGAATTTCCAGCGCTGGACTGCACGTAGGTGGCAGCTTCTGTTTTGACCTGCACTACTGTTTTGACATGTTCTGGCAGGAGAAAACAGAAAGCCTCACAGGCCTGTGGCTGGTTGGTTCTCTGCCTCCTTCCTGAAGAGGAAGCGCTCATGTCTACAATTTTCCTAGTGTCCTGTTGGTCCAGGAGTGTTAGCTGGGAATCGCATCCCAGCTACCTGTGGGGCGACGACCAGCCCCGTCTCAAGCCAGCGGAAATACGGATTCATCGGAGGATGATTTCCAGGAGATAACAAATGAATGCCATGCAATCCAGCAACTATGTGACAGAGCTTCCTCGCCTAGTCACACCCTGTTAATTGAACTCTGTTTCATTCATCAGCTACCAGGCAGGAGGCCAGGGAAAATCCAAATGATTAACTTAGACGTGATGTGTGCGCCTTCTGGGAACCAAAGAAACACTTACCCCGATCTCTGGCAGGGGATCCTTATGATCAGGCTGGACGCTGGTTCGAACCTATGGAGAAAAACAAATATGTTCCATAAGACTCTGGAGCAGAAACCAGTGCAGACACTTCACAGGTGCAGGCTTTTATTTTGCTTCATCTGACGTCAATTCAGACTCTGTGGTTAATCATTATGGAAGGTTCTGTGTACAATTCCCGCTGCAGCATAAGGAAGCTGTCCTTTTATAGTTCCTGGATGTCCTGATTGTCCTCAGTACACAGAGCTGCCTGGGTCCTCACCCCATCACCACTTGCCAATGACAGAAATACCTGGCCTTCAGGCGAATCACCTTTAGTTTCCTGAAAAAGCAATCCTCACTCAATATTCAAGGGAGAGGATAGAATTGGTGGGGAAGAAGTTATTCCGTGCACGCTCACTAAGTTTTATCCTCTAAAGAAGCACCCAAACCTTATAGGTTATCCCTCTCACTTCAGAATTCGAGGCCAAATTGTCAGATACCATTATCTGGATTCAGTTGAAGAAGAATTCTCAATTGGGGGAGAGGGAAAGAGTGTAAAATAATCAGTCATCTGGGTAGGCTTTTCACACGTTTGAAAAGCATTCCAAGTGACACAGCAACACGTTCGATAATAAGCAGACATCAGTCTCCTCCTGAGCGGTGAGCCTTGCTCCTGGCTGTGCACCAGAATTACTGGGGACTTTTTCAAACTTTCAGTGATCTTTCCTGCCCCGATATGGATTCTAATGTTCAGCTGTTGAGTCGATGGTTCTCTGTGTCAATGAAAAAGGGTTCGGCCTAAGAAAAAGTCTTATGAGAGTGTATCTGAGCCAAATTGACAATTGTCGGGGAGCAAACTCCTAACGGACTGAGAAAACGCTGCAGAGAATGGCAGTTCTGCAGCTGCTTCGCACGCGGAGACAGTACGTGGGGAACGAGAGGATGCAGTGGTGCCCCGCTCCGCTGCCCGTGGTCGCACCTTTGATGGGTCCAAAAAAATTGCTTTGGCGTTTCAAAGGTGCGCTACCTTAGATGCTCAAGAACAATAGGCAATTTCCAAGGTGAAGACTGACCTGTGTCAGGGAAGTAAAGGCCCAGGAAAGCATCAGCCACCGTGACCCGTGTCTAGTTAGCAAGTTTTACATTCAGGCCCCCTGTGTGGTTACTGTGGGTCTCCGGGTTCAAAGGCGACTACCTGGGCCTTACAGGTCTAGTATGTGGTCTCTTTCCCATCTCCGTTTATTTAAGACTAAAATATTTCACATGAATGACTGTCTTCCTCATTTACGAAGGAGTTAGTAAAGGCAAGAGAAAACATACGGCCTAAATCTAGTATATCCTGGTTGAGGTTAAGGATGAGATAAACAAGCTAAAGAAACACAGACCAATATCCAAGCACACTCTGTTTAACTGGAGAGCAGAGGGCTGGGGTTGCAGGGGGGCGGGCAGTGCTGATGGGACAGAGGGACCCAGAACACCTGGATCAACACTGTAGAGGTCATCTGATCAAAACCCTTTTGGAGGGGCAGCACTGCCGACCACATTTTCCTTCAAATCCTTTGGACCCTGACACAGCTGACCCTACCAGGTCAACTCTCCCAGGCTGAAGGATGCGTACAATCACCCTCATGATGTCAAAACACGGCTGCTCAGCTTGAACAGGGTTTCCGTTGCTTGAAAAAGCCCTCGGGCCGCAGTAAAACAGTCCATTTCAACGTCCAGCTTAACACTCTTTACAACAGATCAGTTGTTATGACACAAAATTGCTCACCAGAGCACAGAATGAATGACAAGAGAAATGTAACAGAGCAGATGACGCACTCTGCAGAACACAGGGACTCAGGATTTCGGGACACAGTGTGCACTGGCTAAGAGCACCTGCAGTTCAGGGGCTGCATCGGTGTTCTTTAGTCCAGGATGCTCACCCGGACCATTCTGCCTCCTGACATGGGAATCAGTAGCTGGCCTCAAAGGATGAGGAAACTACATATTAATAGTGAGCTGTAGTGGACCATGGAGCATGTGTATATATGGTGCGTGTGTCTTTCCCTCTCTCTCTCCATCTGTGTAGGTATAGAGTACATAGATATATCATATATATAGACTATATACGAACAGGTACTATACACTTATATATTAGAAAGGGCTATACAGAAAGTGAATAAATATTCACACACTTGCAACACATAAACACACACACATATGTGTTTATACACACATATGTGTGTGTGTGTTTACATACCATTTTAAAAAATATTTAAGGCCCTGGCTGGTGTAGCTCAGTGGATTGAGTGCAGGCTGCGAACCAAAGCATCATAGGTTCAATTCCCAGCCAGGGCACATACCTGGGGTGCAGGCCACGGCCCCCAGCAACCACACATTGCTGTTTCTCTCTTTTTCTTTCTCCCGCCCTTCCCTCTCTAAAAATAAATAAATAAATCTTAAAAAAAGAAAATATTTAATGCCCAAATAACATTAACCAAAGGGATATGCCTGAATTTAGAAATAAAGTCAAAGAAGTCAGAAGCTATTGAAGGTAAATATATGTAGGACCGAGTGAAGTACATATATATAAACTATGTGACATAATGTTGGACAAAGTTAGAATTAATGCTGACAATTTCTGCAACATGGTCATTGAACTCCTAAATTTATATTGATTTTATCAGCAGAACACTTATTCCTTATAAATATGAGTAAACTACAGAGAAGAAAAAGATTCGTAACTTGAAGTTGTATACAGTGAAAACAATACAAAGATATTCACAGATGAGACTGTCATATGCAACATGTGTGAGTGTGGGTGAAGAAGAGAGGGAGGGGAGAGAAAAAATGTGTATTACTTTCCTGAACAGAAGTATTTTTGATAAGTACATGCATGTCACATTTTCCTAAATCAAGGCCTGTTTAAATCAGACTTCAAGCTTCTCCTGGTTTAGAAAAACTGGAAAACCAACACTTTATACATCGATTTTAAATTGTACCAAGTTAGATTTTCATATGAAACATTTGTTTATACCAGCATAGACGTACCGCTGTAAAACATTCACATGTAAGGTCAGTACTACTGATATCATGACACATGGGTTACACATGCATGACGCATTTCTTGTGTGACAGACATCCCTCATTGCAGGGAGCACAAACTGGGTGGCAGCCATTGACTAAGGCCCCATGTTTTCTATTTGGGACTTCAGAGTCTGGCGGGTGAGACTGATGTATGAGTAATCCAGCCCAATGTAATAAACGCTGTAGCGGAAAGGTGAGCATTTTCCTATGAGCCTCCAGGGTGAGTAGTAACCAATTCAGCCTGCAAGTGTCAGGGGAGGTGGTGTGGGTTCTGAAGGATGAGTTGGAGTTTCAGGCAATGAAGGGTGTGACAAAGCAGAGTGTTATATACAAGGCATGCATCGCAGAGTGACAAAAGTCCATTTATGTCTGAGAGCGAGTATTCTGATAATGCTATAACATGAGGACCTTCCTGGAAAGGGAAAGAAGTAACTATGTTTGAGGAGACGGGTTGGGGTCACGTGCTGCACAGGACCACCTACCACGGAGCTTTACGCACTCTACAAGCAATAAGAAATCATGGAAAGCATTTGGGCAGAGGAGTGCCACGCTCAGAGCCCCTGAGTCATCCCAACTCCGTTCCAAGTCACAGAGGAGAATTATTTTACCTCTTTATGCCTCTTGATGTCAGTTACCCCTGACACAGGTTGGTAATAGGTCTCATCAGTTGTTGTGTTATGCCTTTTCAGGACTCAGAGCAACGCCTGACACAGAGGGAGAGAGGAAGGAAGTGAGAGAGAAAGGGAAGGGGAAAGAGGGGAAATAAGGAAGGGAGGGAGAAGAAGAAAGAAGGAGAAGGGAAGAGAAGACAGAGGAGAGAAGGGAGGAAGGCTGACAGGCAGGGAGGGAGGGAGGGAGGGAGGGAGGGAGGAGAAATATTCACTAAAAAAAGTTAAAGCCCTGGAGAGACATAGAAGAGACCTCTTAATGAGGAAGGGATGAAGCAGCGGCTGTCACCGACTGGTGGAACATTTCAGCTCATGGGTATCATCAGGCCTCCTGAGATTTACTGGCCTTCCTTAGGAATTCATTTCCCTTTTTTGGTCTCATTACCAGTCCTTATCCCTGTTTTTCTTCACTACCCTTTCCCTTCCCAGAATACAAGAATATCTGTCTGAGTACACATTTAAAATCATATAACTTCCTTTTGTCTAGACTTTTAGGATATCAAATAAAGCAAGACAGATCCATTAAAAGGAGTGATTGTGCAGAAGATTACATATTCCATCTTGGATATTTCTTCAGGTTCATGTGAAATAACTTCATCTCCTGCTCTCAACTTCCTAAGTTCAAAATTCTACATACTAAATTGACCTTGGCAAAAGAAAAATCAACAGGTAACCAGGTAGCACAGAGTTATACTCACTGTTTCATCAAAACTCTACAGGTGAGCTCATGAACTTGGATTGTTCCCAAGCAAGAAGCTCCTTGGACTAACACAACAGTGGCTGAACCGAGCAGTCCAATGCTGACGTCCATGGGCAAGAGCTCCCTAAACAAGCCAACCTTGGTCCACCAGTGTGGGCATGAGGCCCCCGCGGGAGGAAGGAGGGGGAGGATTGCGGTGGTTTTCACAAGGGAGTAACTAAGAACAAGGAAGGGGTATTTCCTCAAAACCTTGGGCACCACCAGGTTCCCGGATCCAGAGAAGCGGTGGCCCTGTGGCCATGACTCTGCGCAGCAGTGTCTGAGCCCGGGTCTCAGGCCAATCCATCTCCTCATTGCTCGGTGAGGACGGAGCAACCTTCCCTGGGGCATGCAGCGAGAAGGCAGATCAGAAGACATTGGCAATGGTAGGGGACGCCCTCAGGACACAGAGAGAGCCCTGGTGCTCTTCTCATACTGTTGTCACATCCGGGAAGGTCTCTGATAATGAATATGTCATTAAAGCGCATCCTTTTTGTACTAATTAAAATGTTACTCTAATTCTCTGTGTATCTCGAGTTAGAAGATATAATAATATCACATTTACTTGGAACGAA